AAGCCTGTAACTTGTTGTACCTGGTGACTGTATAGATCAGGTTTTCAAGACTGTGACTTGTCGTACCTGGTGACTGTATAGATCAGGTTGTCAAGACTGTGACTTGTCGTACCTGGTGACTATATAGATCAGGTTGTCAAGACTGTGACTTGTTGTACCTGGTGACAGTATAGATCAGGTTGTCAAGACTGTGACTTGTTGTACCTGGTGACTGTATAGATCAGGTTGTCAAGACTGTGACTTGTTGTACCTGGTGACTATATAGATCAGGTTGTCAAGACTGTGACTTGTTGTACCTGGTGACAGTATAGATCAGGTTGTCAAGACTGTGACTTGTTGTACCTGGTGACAGTATAGATCAGGTTGTCAAGACTGTGACTTGTTGTACCTGGTGACAGTATAGATCAGGTTGTCAAGACTGTGACTTGTTGTACCTGGTGACTGTATAGATCAGGTTGTCAAGACTGTGACTTGTTATACCTGGTGACTGTATATAGATCAGGTTGTCAAGACTGTGACTTGTCGTACCTGGTGACTGTATAGATCAGGTTGTCAAGACTGTGACTTGTCATACCTGGTGACTATATAGATCAGGTTGTCAAGACCTGTGACTTGTTGTACCTGGTGACTGTATAGATCAGGTTGTCAAGACTGTGACTTGTTGTACCTGGTGACTGTATAGATCAGGTTGTCAAGACTGTGACTTGTCGTACCTGGTGACTATATAGATCAGGTTGTCAAGACTGTGACTTGTTGTACCTGGTGACAGTATAGATCAGGTTGTCAAGACAGTGACTTGTACCTGGTGACTGTATAGATCAGGTTGTCAAGACTGTGACTTGTTGTACCTGGTAACAGTATAGATCAGGTTGTCAAGACTGTGACTTGTACCTGGTGACAGTATAGATCAGGTTGTCAAGACTGTGACTTGTTGTACCTGGTGACAGTATAGATCAGGTTGTCAAGACTGTGACTTATTGTACCTGGTGACTGTATAGATCAGGTTGTCAAGACTGTGACTTGTTGTACCTGGTGACTGTATAGATCAGGTTGTCAAGACTAACAACTTTCTGTGTCACCTCCCAGGAGAGTGACTATATAGATCAGGTTTTCAAGACTGTGACTTGTTGTACCTGGTGACTATACAGATCAGGTTGTCAAGACTGACTTTTCATACCTGGTGACAGTATAGATCAGGTTGTCAAGACTGTTGTTTAACAACTTTCACTGCTTTATTTAAACTATTGTATACATTGAATTGTTTGCACACTTAACTTAAACATAATTAACCATTTTTTTAGCACTTTTTTAGCTTGTCAGAATAAGTTTCACTGATTTTAAAAATCCAGCTGAGAGGCAGATGCCATTTTGTTTACATGTCATATAGTGGGTAGCCAGCTTATCAATCTTCAAAATGAAATAAAAAATATCTTGTAAACTTTTTCCTCTTCTTAAAGCTGATAATATTAGTTGTACGCTTCTCCTGAGGGTAATACAGTCTGTAGCAGTCTCATCCGTCGCTTACTGGCTCAGGTGACACTGATACAAAAAGGCATACATCAGACCGTATTACCCTTGGGGAAAAGCATACAACTAATATTATCAGCTTTAAGAAGAGGAAAAATAACTAGAATTTGATATCTTAATTCAGCCCAAAAAGCTGGAAGAAAAAATAAATCTTGTTTTTAAAATCCATAAACTAAATACTGAAATGGCTGAAATATGTACATCCTTGGTATGCAAGTTGAAGGGGCTATATCATGTTTTTTCAATTGCTCATAGCTATTGGTTGACAAAGTAATCTGGACAGTAAGTGGGTAATGGTGATTTATTTGATGTTTTACACACATGGCTTACCTGATGTTCTGATTAGGGTGTAAATACAGTAAATAAGTAGGGGTGGGAATTGCAGAGAATTTTCATATTGCGATATATTGCGATGCGAAAGCATGTATTGCGATATATTGCATGAAGTATTTTTAAACAAAAAACTACTTATAATCGAGTTAATGCTTGATTTATATAGCACCTACACAGCAAAATCACTAAGCCTTGATTAAGCTTTAATAACGACTTTTCATCATGATAAAATAGAAATGAGAATAATATTTGGCACAAATGAAACAAGGAAATATCCGAAGATTTCCGAGTGTTACGAAGTTTTCCGAATGCAAGTCAAAATACCGGTTTTCGATCAGCGTATCGGAATTTGTATCGTTTTTATGTCTGAACCGGTAAATACCGGTAAACCGGTTATATTGCGCAGCCCTATAAATAAGCAAATTCAAATAAACACATGGATGTTTCGGGTGTTGCAGTGTCTTTCTGCCGCATGTAGACAGAATGATAATAACTGATTGTAACAAGGTACATGAGCACTAAGTCCTGATTATGATAATTCATTAAGAGAACACACATTGTTGCAGCAGGTAGTGCTCACACAGCTTCTCAGTGTGAACTGGAACAACTTTACTCCCATTAAAACTTTGGCCTAAAACAAATTCAAACTTAGACCAGGAACTGGCTATTTGTCTGTTAGACTATAAGGTATAACGGAAGAATGGTGTTTTGATCCCTAAGCTGAATCGATTGCTGTGTTTATTTGTCTGAGTTGTCATTGTTTCAAGTGAGCTTGTCTTAGCATGACAGACTGTGTTGACCTGCACCTCCGTCTTCCTGTGAAGGAAGTATCCAGACATTGGCCATCTGTTGTCCTCTGGCAGCCTGTCACCATCATAACATACTGGTTTATACATAATTTTGTGTGTATGTAAAGGAATTTGATTGGTCAAATGATCATTGTCTGGAGTTGTTACTGTTGCAGAATATGACAAAAGCATACATTTCAATAGCACACACTCTTGTTTCTGCAGGTTTGTGCTGCTGGGACACTAGTAGAAATTGATATTTAACATACTTAGTTTTTCGTAAATATACTAACACTCACATCTTTACTTTAGGGAATTTCATGGCCGAAATGTCATTGCTGCCATGGTGTCCCTTTTTTAATGTTATCACTGACTGACTGACTGACTGAGTTTGGTTTTACGCTGCTTTTAGCAATATTCCAGCAACATCATGGCGGGGGACACCAGAAATGGGCTTCACACATTGTGCCCATGTGGGGATTCGAACCGGGTCTTCGGCGTGATGAGCCAACGCTTTAACCATTAGGCTACCCCACCGCCCCTTTAATGTTATCAAGTTCATTATCATGGTAATATGCATTTTATGAAAGAGGAGTTATGGCTCTTCAGTAGGCAAGGCACCACACACTAATTTTGTATGTAGTGGATAAGACAATGTTTGCATGATATCATATATAAGTTATGTTATTCTTAAAACTTAGAACTCTGTTGTGTAAATTCATGTGAGAATACTGTGTCTTTGTTTCCCATTGTTAGGTCTGATATAATGTCCATGCTGGTCTCTACTGTTGTGGGGATCTATTACTGACCATTGCTTCTTCCTGTCTTTGAGTGGTGTTGACACAAACTCACCCCAGTCAGTTTGACCTGGTGTAAACTGAGTGCAGCCAGCAGGACACGGTGGAGGGGGATTTGGCTGCTGTGTTGACAAGCACTCCTTGCAGTGTTGAAACAGGCTCAGCCTCAGTTGTGTCACGTCTTCCTGGATTGTCCTTCCTTAACTGGCTTAGAGGAAGACAAATGTGTATTGTAGTTCGTTATGATAAACTTTAATAAGTAGTTTACTGTCAGTTTTATTCTCATCATTATGCAGTTGTTATTCACTTATGTTTTTGGTAATGTCTGGATACAACAGGGAGTAGGGGATGTTGATTTATTTTTGAAGCTATTTAAGGAAATATTAATTGACTGTGCCAAGAAATGGCATGCAGAACTTACAGAGAAAGCCTCCTTACAATTTTATTCTACTATAAAACCATCATTCACTTCTGAATTGTACATATATGATCTTAATAATATAAAATATCGGAGGGTACTGCTTATTTTTAGAAGCCATTTCAATCGTCTAGGAATACAATGTATCAGAAAAGGTTTTTGTGATTATGAAAGTCCTGATTCTAAATGTCCTTTATGTGATGTAACCGAAGATGAAATCCATATTATATATATTTCTGTCCAATTTTACAAATTCTTCGTGATGATCTACCACTTATTTCAAACACAGCAGACATATTAATGGCTTAACATATTTAATGAATTCTAATGATTATAATTTCATGTTAGGAAAATACTTGTACAATGTGTTTCGTATATGAAGAGGATTCCTTTGATATGCATGGGTCAACAGGCCTTGAAAACAATAAACCATTGAACTGAATATTCTCATCCCTTGGAAACATATTGATGATTTATTCATTTAGTGTTGTTGGTGTGATTGACAAGAGTTGAACAATGCATAATGTCTTTGATCTCCACCATTGACTCATGAATCAGGCAGTGGCCAGACACAGACGCCGGGGGTTATCATGTCAGTGCATGTTGATGCTTAGTGGTGTCTAGTTCCTAGTACCTGCAATGATGCCTGGAACATGCCCTAATATTTCCCAGGTCATATTATCTTATGAGTGGTATGACAAATACGCCACTTGTATTTCCCCGAAAACAGGTATAGTAAAGGCAAAGAGGTTGTCTGATGTTATGATAGTTCCAGAAAATTTAAAAAAAACAACAAAATCATGATTGTTTCCATAATTTTCCTGCCAGGGAATGGATGGAGGGGTAGCCTAGTTGTTCAAGTATTTGCAACACAAGCTAAAGACTCCTGATGGGTACAACGTGTTCAGTTCCTTTCAGGGGTGCATGAAGCCCAATTGTGGTGTCTCCTTCTGTATCATCACAGCATTAGCTTTACTCACTCCCACACTCATTTGGAATCCTAGAAACATGCTTGATGTTGGTGACAAGTGATGTGCTTTATGATAATCACCTGCCACAGTCTACACTGTCTTCACTTATAAACCTATGGGAACAAGGCTGATATTTAATTATTCCTCTTTCCTTCTTCTGTTGCAGGAAAACCCGTAACCTCAGTGAAAAGAAACGTCGAGACCAGTTCAACATGCTGGTAAATGAACTGTGTTCCATGGTCTCTGTCAACAACAAGAAAATGGACAAGTCTACTGTACTGAAGTCCACCATTGCATTCTTGAAGAACCACCAAGGTATGGAGAGATGCACCAGTCTACTTCAGATCATTTGTTGGAATAACAACTGATAGTTTCACTGGTGGCCATAAGTTAATACTTTGTTATCAAAGCGTGACATGGAAGCAGAACATTCACTCTTTGCATATACATTCTTCAGTGTACTCCACTTTTGCAATAATAGTGCTACTGTATTAAATCAACTTTAAGCTTGATAATTATAATAATCCGTGTAATGAAAATTAAATAAGTATACCGACAGTGTCACATTCCTCCATATTCCTCCCTATCACTACCGAAAGTGAAGGGGAATAACTCTAGTATGAAATTGTTGTAAACTTTGAAAACCGAGACGATTCATTGTGACTAAGTGAAAGTACAAATTGTTGTGTATACTATTAACAACACTATAACAGAGCTCCAGATAAGATTTAGCTCATGTGGGTACCGTACCCACTGTATTTTTTTGGAGTGGGTATTATGAATGTTGAGTGGGTATTTCATTTTCCATTACCCACTGCTTTCAAATATGTGCGTATTTCAGTCATTTTACTCACTTAAGTATATGTCATTGAGTAAGTTTACTAAGCAGGTATGTTCTGCCTTATGTCATACCTAATAAAAACCAGCTTTAATATAATGGAAATAACACTTGTCCTATACTAACAGTACAACTTGATAGCAATCGATGTCTTTTTCATTATGCAAGCGATTTTTATAAATATAATTCGTACGCATTTGCTTTAAACTTTTTGCGTATCTAACATTTTAAATGCGTAATTGGTACGCAACAATTATTTTTTCAATGCGTAATTAGAAATTTTCTATGCATATTTTACCTGGATACGCAGCTTATCGGGGCCTCTGCTATAAGCTTGCATCAGCTGACACATGAAGCTGATTGACTCTCTTATGATACGTGTTACGTGTGACTTACACTAACATACATAAGCTTGCTCTAATAGTAGAATGGCAATGTTTTCATACACAATTGATGTGTATTTGCAAATCTAAATTTGGGAAAAAAGGTAGTGATGTTGTGATTTATTGACTTCCATTTATTACTTTTTGTGGGACTGACCATTTAAAAATGTGTTCTTCTGTGTTTATTCTATCCCCTAACATTAAAGAGGGGCCTCAAGTGTTCCACCTGTTTGGCAGCTAGAACATTGCCAACCTCCGAGTAGAGATATTAATTGGTAAGGTGTTCAATGGCGTTATCTGCCAGAGACTGTCACAAATAAACCTTGTGCCTCAGTTGTGGAAACACTTTGATGCAGGTTGTATCTTGTTTTATGTAGCTAATCTGGGCAATGCAGTTTTCTACAAATAATAATGAGGAGAGTATGTTGTAGTGTACACAGTTTGTACAGATCATGTCACCTTTTGGCTATAGATATCATGACCTGAATGTATTATGTTTAGTTTTACATATCCCTTATACATATAATGTGAAAATGGATAACAATAGAATACCTTATCAAGCTTATAGTATGTTTAAGCAGAGCTACAGATAACTTTTTGGGTCATTGAGTTATGTACTCGCTTGTGTTCATCTCAATTGGGTATAATAATTTTCCTTTGAGTAACCAAATACATTGTACTCATCTCACTCAAACTCAATTGGGTATTTTGCCATTTTCCAATAATTTAAAAATATAATAAAGTTTAAATTTGAGTGTTTTTTATTTATATTTGATCTGTAATATGAGAAGCGATAAGAAAAACTGCAAGTTGTCAAGTTCATATCCTGAAATAGAACCTCTCAGTATACCTCAGTTACGGTATCTATCCACCGGTACGCATATTAAGATTTGACATTTTTGTGTGTACGCGTGTAAGATCACATTTATTGAGTATTTACAAAAATTCAAGCGTACTTGTACGCAATAGACTTAATAGGAATTGAGTTTTCACATAAATATTTGCGTAATTTACGCAGATACACAGCTTATCTGTACCTCTGGTTTAAGACACTTGATGATGTAAGGAGAACTACATGGGCATCGCATATCAGAAATATTTTATATCAATTTGATTTTGGTATTTTATGGATAAGTCAAGACATAGGAAATGTAAAGCAGAGATTGTCTGATTGTTTGAACCAAGATTGGCATCATACTGTTTCACTTTTGAGCAAATGTCAGACATACTGTCAATTTAAGACAATGTTGCAAGTTGAAAGGTATCTGTCCTTAGACCTTCCATGGTATTGCAAACATGTATTAAGCTAGTTCAGATGTAATAACTTCAAACTTGCAAGTGAAACAGGGAGGCATAATAATATACTGTACTGTAATTGACTTTGTTTATATTGTCATAGCAAAGGCATGTCATTAGTTGAAGATGAATACCACCAATTGATGGTTTGTCAACGCTATAAAGATGCAAGAATTGAATGTTTCCACCATACCTATATTAGAAACCCGGGTAGGGTAAGTTTTGCAAGACTTATGTCGAGTAAGGATGAAAATGTTTTGATAAGTATTGTTAAGTTTCTGATGAAGGCTCGTAAAATTAGAAATGCATAAATTTCAGTCAATATTCTACACATTAAGATCCATATGTTATTTCTTAGATATGTTATGCCTATACATTGTGCAAATATGTCAGACACTTTTACAAAGCAAAATTGTATGATTGTTACAACATACTGTCACTTTATGACACTTGTGCAAATTGAAAGATATTTTTCCTTAGATATATTCTACAGTATTATAAACATGTTTTAAGCTAGTCCAGATATAATAGCTTCCAACCTCCAACTGTAACAGGGAGGCATAATACACTGTACTGTAATAGACTCTGTTTATATTGCTATAGCAAAGGCATACCAGTAGTTGAAGATGAATACCATTTAGTTGTCAATGTTTAAAAGATGCATAAGAATTAATGTTTTCCACCATACCTATATATTGGTAACCTGTGTAAGGATAGTTTTGTTAGACTTGTGTCATGTAAGGATGATGTTTTCATAAGTGTTGCTAGGTTTTCTGATAAAAGCTTACATAAGATCCACATGTTTTCTTTAGAAGGGTATATTATGCCTGTACATTGTGCATAAATGTTTCCATAGTTTGCAAAGGCAATAATGTATGACTGTTACTGGTTTACCAGCATCAAATAAAAATGTAAAATCATTCTGTAATGTGGGCCATGGCCTATGCTAAAACAAAATCTGTCTGTCTGTCAAAATAATGTGAAAATACTGACATTTGTGTCTAATGGTAGATGACAACCACTGAGTGCTTGCCTTTGTTTAGCCTTGAGGTTGTTTTAATGCCAACCACCATGTTCAACAATGCAATTGTTTCATGCCAACCAACATGTTCAACAATGCAATTGTTTCAATGCCAAGCAACATGTTCAACAATGCAATTGTTTCAATGCCAAGCAACATGTTCAACAATGCAATTGTTTCAATGCCAAGCAACATGTTCAACAATGCAAATGTTTCAGTGCCAACCAACATGTTCAACAATGCAATTGTTTCAATGCCAAGCAACATGTTCAACAATGCAATTGTTTCAATGCCAAGCAACATGTTCAACAATACAATTGTTTCAATGCCAAGCAACATGTTCAACAATGCAATTGTTTCAATGCCAAGCAACATGTTCAACAATGCAATTGTTTCAATGCCAAGCAACATGTTCAACAATGCAAATGTTTCAGTGCCAACCAACATGTTCAACAATGCAAATGTTTCAATGCCAAGCAACATGTCATCAACAATGCAATTGTTTCAATGCCAACTAACATGTTCAACAATGTGATTGTTCCTAATGCAACCACCATGTTCAACAATGCAATTGTTTCAGTGCCAACCACCATGTGTGACAATGTGATTGTTTCAGTGCCATGGCAATTAGCTTGTTGACTGACACACAAGATACTGAGACATGGGTGTCAGGGAATGGTTATATTTACCACAACATATGTGTCAACTGATCTCAGGCTAAGCTTGCTTTGGAAGATCTGCTGGATGATTTATAGCTACAGAACATACAAGACCTGTGTGTTGTACCAGCAGGTGATGCTTAAAAAGGTTTAGAAAAATATTGGTATATATACTCATGGAAACAGATAAGGGAACACATGAAAGTACAAGTGTTCCTTTATTTATTTCCAAAATTTCACCCACAGTGCAATACATACCTTGTGAAGAAACCTGGAAAAGAATAAAGGAACACTTGTGCCTTCATGTGTTCCCTTTTCATGAGTATATGTAACACAACTGTGTTTTATGTATCAGGTGGATTAAAACTTACTGCATATTGGTAAATACATCTGTATGACTTTGTGAGACAAGTTGTGTTGGTTGAGTATAAATCACTGAACATCGTCATACCAAGACACAGGAATCAGTTATCACACAGGTTAAAGTTGGTTGTAATTACAGTGCATCACTTGCAGTCTCACAGTGTGGGGAAGTGAAATTGTTTGACCTGCTGTAGCCTCAAATACTGCTCATAAATCATGTTTTGTCTTATATTTACAGAAATTGCAGTTCAGTCTCAAATCCATGAAATAAAGGAGGACTGGAAGCCATCTTTCCTGTCCAATGATGAATTTTCTCAACTGATGCTTGAGGTAGGTCTTCTGGAGTTATCATCATTCCCTTCAGTAGGATTAGTTCCTTGTCAGTAACTGTTTACTAACTTCGTTTTCATGAAACTTCTCAACTTTCCATGATCTTTGTCCTTACTCATGCTCAATCAGATACCATAGAATGTGGACTTGAGTCAAACAAATCTTATATATCTGATGTAAATGAGTGCATCAGGTTTTCCATGGCTGTCTTTGGGATACCAGCAAACTAACTCACTGAATGCAGGTGTGTACCTATATCTATTGCTCCATATACATAAGACAGTTTTACACTGTTACCAATTTATGTTGTGGCTCGTTGCTTTTGATTCCAAAGGTTTGATGTGTAAAGAAAATTAAACTTGTTTAATCTACAATTTTGTTGTTTGGAGTTGCAATGAATTGCAGTACAGTAGCAATAGTAGTACATGCATCGAAGAACAGTAGCAATAGTACTACAGGTATTGAAGTACAGTACCTATAGTAGCAAAGGTATTGAAGAACAGCAGCAATAGTGGTACATGCATCGAAGAAGAGTATCAATAGTACTACAGGTATTAAAGTACGGTATCAATAGTAGTGCAGGTATTAAAGTACAGTATCAATAGTAGCACAGGTGTTGAAGTACAGTAGCACTAGTAGTACAGGTATTGAAGTACAATAACAATAGAAGTACAGGTATTGAGTTACAGTATCAATAGTAGTACAGGTATTGAAGTACAGTATCAATAGTAGTACAGATATTGAAGTACAGTAGCAATAGTAGCACAGGTATTGAAGTACAGTATCAATAGTAGTACAGGTATTGAAGTACAGTATATTGTACAGTGAAGTACAGCAATAGTACAATAGTATCAATAGTAGTACACATTGGTATCAATGAAGTACAGGTATTGAAGTACATATCAATAGTAGTACACAGGTATCAATTAGTACAGGTATTACAGTATATCAATTAGTATCAATAGTAGTACAGGTATTGAAGTACAGTATCAATAGTAGTACAGGTCTTGAAGTACAGTAGAAGCAAGGTATTGCAATAGTAGGCAGCACAGTAGAATAGTACAGGTGTTGAAGCATTACAGTAGCAAAGTAGTACAGGTATTACAGTATCAATAGTAGTACAGGTATATTGCAGGTATTGAAGTACAGTAGCAATAGTAGTACAGGTATTGAAGTACAGTATCAATAGTAGTGCACAGTACAGTAGCAATAGTAGTGCAGTATTGAAGGACAGTATCAATAGTAGCACAGGTATTGAAGTACAGTAGCAATAGTAGCAGCACAGGTATTGAAGTACATAGAATAGTAGCACAGGTATTGAAGTAGCAATAGTAGTAGGTATTGAAATAGCAGCAGCAATAGTAGTACAGGTATTGAGTACAGTAATATAGTACAGGTATTGAAGTACAGTAGCAATAGTAGCACAGGTATTGAAGTACAGTATCAATAGTAGTGCAGGTATTGAAGTACAGTAGCAATAGTAGTACAGGTATTGAAGTACAGTAGCAATAGTAGCATAGGTATTGAAGTACAGTAGCACTAGTAGTACAGGTATTGAAGTACAGTAGCAATAGTAGTGCAGGTATTGAAGTACAGTAGTAATATTACTGCAGGTATGGAAGAACAGCAGCAATAGTAGTACAGGTATTGAAGTATAGTATCAATAGTAGTACAGGTGAAGTACAGGTATCAATAGTAAATACTGCATATAGAAATACAGTATCAATAGTAGTGCAGGTATTGAAGTACAGTAGGAATAGTAGCACAGGTATTGAAGTACAGTATCAATAGTAGTACAGGTATTGAAGTACAGTATCAATAGTAGCACAGGTATTGAAGTACAGTATCAATAGTAGTGCAGGTATTGAAGTACAGTAGGAATAGTAGTGCAGGTATTGAAATACAGTAGCAATAGTAGTACAGGTATTGAAGTACAGTATCAATAGTAGTGCAGGTATTGAAGCACAGTAGCAATAGTAGCACAGGTATTGAAGTACAGTAGCAATAGTAGGGCAGGTATTGAAGAACAGCAGCTATAGTAGTGCAGGTATTGAAGTACAGTAGCAATAGTAGTGCAGGTATTGAAGTACAGTAGGAATAGAAGTACAGGTATTGAAATACAGTATCAATAGTAGTGCAGGTATTGAAGACTGTAGGACTTGGCCGTATCTGGAGGTATGACTGTAGGACTTGGCCGTATCTGGAGGTATGACTGTAGGACTTGGCCGTATCTGGATGTATGACTGTAGGGACTTGGCCTTATCTGGAGGTATGACTGTACGGACTTGGTCTTAATTGGAGGTATGCCTGTAGGACTTTGCCGTAACTGGATGTATGACTGTAGGACTTGGTCTTATCTGGAGGTATGCCTGTAGGACTTGGTCTTATCGTGGAGGTATTACTGTAGGACTTGATCTTGTCTGAAGGTATGACTGTAGGACTTGGTCTTATCTGGAGGTTTGACTGTAAGGCTTGGTCTTATCTGGAGGTATGACTGTAGGGTATCTGGAGGTATGACTTAGGATCTGTCTGGAGGTATGCCTGTTGGTTTGACTGTAGGACTTGGCCTTATCTGGAGTATGACTGTATGGACTGTGGAGGACTTGGTCTTATCTGGATCTGGGTATGACTGTATGGACTTGGTCTTATCTGGAGGTTTGACTGTAGGACTTGGTCTTTTCTGGAGGTATGACTGTAGGACTTGGCCTTATCTGGAGGTATGACTGTAGGACTTGGTGTATCTGGAGGTATGACTGTATGGACTGGGTCTTATCTGGAGGTATGACTGTATCTTGGTCTTGTCTGGAGGTATGCCTGTAGGACTTGGTCTTATCTGGAGGTATGCCTGTAGGAGGTCTTATCTGGAGGTATGACTGTATCTGTACTGTCTTATCTGGAGGAATGACTGTAGGACTTGGCCTTATCTGGAGGTATGACTGTAGGGACTTGGTCTTATCTGGAGGTATGACTGTATGGACTGGGTCTTATCTGGAGGTATGACTGTAGGACTTGGTCTTGTCTGGAGGTATGCCTGTATGACTTGGTCTTATCTGGAGGTATGCCTGTAGGACTTTGTCTTACCTGGAGGTATGACTGTACGACTTGGTCTTATCTGGAGGTATGACTGTAGGACTTGGTCTTATCTGGAAGTATGACTGTAGGACTTGGCCGTATCTGGAGGTATGCCTGTAGGGACTCGGCCTTGTGACTGTGTGACCTGACGGTCTTGTTTTCAGATATAACAAGTCCAGGTCCTTGAAGGTATCATTCATGGAGACAGCTTTAATAATTTTAATTATTTGAACATTGTGGCTGATATTGATAATTTAGTTTTTCTTCCATTCACTTTTTGCAAATATCCCATAGTAATTTTATGGGCTTGTGTAAAAAATTAGCCAAGGTCACAGTCACAGTCACAAAAACTTGCAAATACATTATTTATTATAAGGTGTATTATCACAGACAACAACTTTCATGTTATACAGACTAGATTACACTCTACTTCTTGCCTTCAGCAGGAAAGTAGCATCTGGGAACATACATACAGTTACAAGCCAGTTATAATTAGATACATGGAAATACAGCCAGTTATGTGCGATTGTCGGGGCACAATAGGAGAGATGTTATAGGAGAGATGGTACAAGGCTGTGTACCGGTATAAATAATAGGTTGAACTAAATGGAAAAGCTAAATGGATCATAATTAAATGAAGCCCTCACACGTCTGATGTGGAAAACATCTTGAAGCTTGTGCTTCCCACACTTGTGGATGATTGTACAGAGGAATATAGTTTGTTACCAGGAATTGGAGTCGTTAGGTTTACTGAGGTCGGGAAGGCGAACCAGTGTGTTATTGTCCCACAATCATGCAGTCAGTGGTGGGCATGCAGAAATGTTTTATAGTCAGTTGTCTGATATGAAGATGATATTGAAGTTATCAGTTCATTTATCATTAAAATTGGTAAAATTAGTACATCAATATTGTGTCAAAGGTCAAAGTTGCTTTAAACAGATCACTCATGAAATTACATGGGCATAATGACAAAGTTATAAGTGAGATGTTTCAATACAGATTGTTGTTCCATTGTCAAGTACTGAGGAAATGAAAAAGGTTGTTATCCATAACAATTTGTGATTATTGTATTTCACAGCTTCTGAAAGTGCCACTTAACTTCCATGCAGAGTTATTATTCAGTGTTATGAGATAAATATTTTGGCATGTAATTGTATGCTGTTTAAGGGCACTTAGAGGGCAGTGTGCCTGAGAAGCTTGTGTGTACTCAATATCTTCTGTAGTTATGACTGGCTTTTGATGAAACTTTATACTCAAGATCTCACAGCACTTCACGGCAGAGATTGGCAGGTCAAGGATATTAAAAGTGGAGTATTTATAACATTGTTAATAAGGTAACTTGAGGCATAGGACTTCTGTTGCAAAGTTTTGCTGCATTGGACTTGTGTATCTTTACATCAGAAGTGATATCATTAAAGACCCTAAAAGATCCATGATAGCATTGGTCTTCAGCAACCCATGCTTTTTGTATAAGGCTGTTATATAGCTGGAATATTGCTGAGGGTGGTGTTAACGAATAAGAAAGAAACAGAAAGATGTCATGTTGCCAGAAGTGCTGATTACTTTGTTACTAAGATGACTGGTGTCATGAGCTTATTTGTTTCAAAGTTCTAAGTAACATCAAAATTGTTCATGGCTGGCTACATGTTTCTGATAGGAAAACTTGAAAACAGGAAATAGTATGGATGGATTACCCCGGTATTGTGTTTTTGCATGTGTTGAATAGCTGGAGACATGAAGTATTGTGGAGCCACAAGAATAGAGTAAGGTACTAGTGTAGGTGATAATGCCAGGATGAAATGGAATACAAATCTGGTTCCAGTTTGTGGCATCATGACAGTGTCAAAGGCAACGAAATGAAGGAACAAGGATACACTGTATTTTTCAAAGGGTACTGCTTTAATGTTTGGTTAGACCAATCAATGGTGATTGTTCGTGTTCAGTTTAGAAGTGAGTATGGTAGGCTTAATTATGCTTGGACACCATGTATTTAGTGGCTTCTCAGCTTTGTCAGAGGAAAACCCGAAGTGAAGATTGTCATAGCTAAGTTCACAGCCTTCACGAAACACAAGCATAGATGTGAGGCTAAGAGAACCAGGATGATAATCTTCTCTCCATGGACATATGTGTTATTTCGTAACAAATCCTTCAGCTTCAAATGTCAGTGTTGTCTGTCCTAGCTCAAGGCTGTCATAAAGGTTGAATGTGTTTGTATCCTTCATCATATTGTCAGTTACATGCAGTCTCTTCTGCTGACGTTAGTCACAGTTACTGTTAAGATCATACAGTCGTTCCCGTTTATCTGGACACTTGTGTTTTTCTTGAAATTGTCCGGATAAACAAATTTCCGGTTATCTGAACCATGGACCATATGTAAAAAGACATACAAAGAAACAAGCATAATAGACCTCAGACGTAACCTTTATTGATAAGGCATCAACAAATAATGATGCATACATAAATATCATCTTGTCAAATAAAGTAGTCAAGTCAATAACAGCTGTGAACATACCTGTACATGCATCTGTCTGTCAAATGCTCGCAACCAATCACAAAACAGTTCTCTATGTCATCCACGCATTCGCATTGTTCCTGTACCTAACATATACTTCCGGATTAAAGTCACTACCAAAACAACGGGGACGTCTTGCCTTGCCAATCACAACTCAAAATTAACTCAGTGTCACCTTGCTAATTACAGGTAGTTAATCCTCTCACGCTTCAAAGACTGACGACTTCTTTTACATTAGGGCACGCAAGGCCACTCGGTAAAATGCATGTGTAAACATACTGACAGGTGCTCAACCATCCGGATATACGAGAAAAAAATGCATATAATTTAGCGTTTTGTATGTGAAAATGACCGTCCGGTTACGGAAACAGGATTTCCGGGTAAGTGAGTAATTTTATAACATTGTGAATTCGTTTTGAGGAAGTTTCGTTTGGAAAGCGAGTTTTCCGGATATCTGAGGTTCAGATAAACGGGGCGCGACTGTAACATCATATGTGCTTCATGGTCTGTGTACTTAGTTTAAGTGCCTGAGATGCATGCATCCCATGTGACTGTTCAGAACTCAGTTTTATACTGAATACTCAGTGGGAGCTGGCATGTAATTAGTTAGACTGTCTCACAGTCCCTGAACCACATTATTTTCCCTACTGCCTAGCCTCTCTGCAGTGCCAAAGCCCTATATAAAGCAAGTCTAGATTTCCTCAGGTTTTGAATCTCAGGTCTCCCTGGGGCTCCTTTTCAATTTAAATGGGCTTGTTTATTACTGTCAAAATTATATATATTCAGAGACTAAGCATTAGACTAGTAATTAGTAGTTGATGGAGTGGGCTGTAGTCTACTGAGGCAACTGCTGAACCAGCAACACGCCCAGTGGTTTCTGTTTGATTCATTAAGGAACACAGTGATGTTTGCTGAAGACATTGAAAATGTGTGGCCCTCTGTACTCTCTAAAGGGTGAGAGAAAACTTACAGATGTCAGTAAAGTTTGTGATGAATTTCTATACTGGGAGTGGCTTGAAGACATCTGTTGTATTTAGGATCACACTTTCTCAGGTTTGAGTACTTGGGGGATTTGAGTACTATCCGGGATTTCAACCCAGACTTTCAGAGTCAAGCACCTTATCACTACTAGCAACGGGTAGTCTAGCCACAGACCAGAAGTGCATATAGCTTAGTTATTAAGTGACTAATGGTTGTATACAGCTGTCTGATGTTGTTTTGTGTTGCAGGCCCTGGACAGTTTCCTCATTGTCTTCACAGTAAAGGGGAAGATCCTGTATGTGTCAGAGAGTGTAACATCTCTACTAGGGCACCTTCCAGTAAGTTGTTGCGTATTTTCCATACAGGCACACAGGCGTAAAACAGGCCTCTCTTTCCCCTCAGATTGTGTAAAGCATCTGCCAAATGTTCAAGTCATCAATGGGGCAGACAGACTTAAAAAATGATTTTACATAATTATTACTTGATTGAGTCATTATCCATGCATACATTGTGTCCTAATGTGCACATGGGCTGGACTAATTGTAGATGAAAGTGTCGTTGGATCATAGGTTTTCGGACGTCATACATTTTGGACAGCAGGGTCACATGGACTGTAACAAGGGGTGTTGTCACACAGATAGTGTATACTCTTGAATAATATCTTGTGTTTACAATAAAGTTATCCTTTATCAGTCAGTGACATGTTTTGCAATTGTTCATGTGATAATTGAGACAACAACAGATGTTCTTAATTTCATCTACTTAACATCACTTTCTGATTTGGGCTATTTTTGTTTCTGTTGCAGAGTGATCTCGTTTCTAAGTCTTTGTTTAACCTTTTACATGAATATGATCGAGAGAAAGTCTCCAACTTTCTGCAGGATTTCCACTCCATGGCCAACACATCAGCAGAGTTTGGTAAAGGTGAGCACTGTGTGTATGCATAGCAAAATGTAGGTGGGCAGGTTGTCTGTCACCAGGTTGTCCACCTGTCCTTACGAAGGGTGGCTGAAAAGTTCTGGTGCTTACTATGAAAGATGTAAGGTAGAGCCCTTAACAGATTGCATGCATTAAGTACCTTACTTTCCGTGTGTACAGTCTGTGTTTTAACCAAATACACAATGTGGAGCACATTTCTTCTGATTTACTCCCATTAGTTAGACATCCCATTAGTTAGACATCCCATCAGTTAGACATCAGGCATGAAAGTAATAAGGTATTCTCTGTTGATGTAAACGGACAGAACTGTGCACGCTGCTGCCATCAAGTATCTCCCAACTGTTCAAGCCAGCAGCTATTATTTAGATGTGTTGTTAACTTCAGGGTAGGATGTTCCTCCTTTGCCACTGTTATTTGGAGGACAGTTCAAGAGGGGTACAGTGAGTGAGTGAGTGAGTTTTGCACTGGTTTTAGCAACATCATGGTGGGGGACACCAGAAATAGGCTTCACACATGGTACACGTGTGGGGAATCAGACCCGGGTCTTCAGCATGATGAGTGAACGCTTTAACCACTAGGCTACCCCACCACCCCCAGGAGAGTAAGAGAGAGCCTGAAGATGATCCAGAATGTCCACCACTGTGGAATATGATAGACTACATGATATGGTTATAGATGATCCACAGCTCACCATGTTTCATGTCCAATATGTTTGGCATCTCTCATCGCTCATGTTGAGGTATGGACGACGGTTTCAGCATCTGGGGTTCCCCGGCTTCTGACTTGAAATGATCCATGTTTATCATCTCTCATGAGAATTTACATTTTTAAAGAAATCTGGGTCCCGATCCACAAAGCGTTCGTAGCGCTACAACATTCGTAAGCCTATGGTAAACTATAGAGTTACAACATGTCGTAACCTTACGAACACTTTGTGGATCGGGACCCTGTTCCATGAGCAGGTAAGGTGATGGATTTGATTTTTCTGAGATTCCAAAAGTCTGATTGGTGGACTGCGTCCCAAAAGGTCTGCCCATTAATAGGCAGGGTTATGCTGATCTGCTTAGGCTAAACATCTAAGGGCGTGTTTCTCCACTAGGACAATGTTCTTGAGCACATGTTGTTGTCACTAAGACTGAAATGCATCCTCCATATTCATTAGATTTCGCTTTGTCAGATTTCCATGACCTCTTGAAGAAAAATATGTCTGGATATAAACTTCAAGCAAGGAAGTTAACCTACTGTAAGAGTCCAGTTTCAGCTCTTGCCAAACCACGTCGTCATATGAGCGAAATATTCTCAAGCACGACGTTAAACCCAATTTCACCTCACCTCTTGCCAAACCCGGCTGGTATTCATGGCTCGTAGCACCATCGGTGGCTTTTATGAGTCACGTCCCTCCAAATGACAAATCAGATGCCAAATTTCATATCAATGTTAATCAACATCTTGAGAATGCATCAGGTCATATCCTGTGAAGTAGGAGTGCACATGCCGGTGTAGCAGGCCATTTCTTCCCCAGTCTAAACTTTCCCCGTGGAGAATCTGGCCTAGCAAGGCCACTTCTTCCCCACCCTTGTTCTTATATTAAAATGGGGAAATTCTGGCCAAGCTAGGCCACTTCTTCCCCAGCCTTGTTGTTATATCTTATATTGAATATAGTAGTGATTTTGAGATAAGCCAATTTGGAATAAGTGGGGATAAGTAAATTATCGAAATTTTATAAATATGTAAATGATAATATAAAACAATGGTAATGATATAATATATAATAAAGTAAAGATAAATTGTGTAATATAAAATCTTTTTAACATAATTTGGAATTAGGGAATTGTGTTGGGTCAAACATGATTATTTTTACCAGTGGTTGTTTATACATGTATTTTAATACTCATGTCACAGAGATACATATTGATACAAAACTATTTTGTTTAATTTCCTGTTTAGCTAAAGGGTCTACTACATACATAACAATCAGGTTGATGTTTCACCCTTAATTGTTTGTTAACTAATTGGAAATGATCCATTTTTCTCACTCTTATTGCTTAAATATATTTCTGGATTTAGTTTCCCATTAATACAGTATTGTCACCTCCAATGACAGTTTTTATCTATTTTTCTGGTTGTTCAATCACTATAACATTCTGGATTAATGAATCACACCACAACTAGAACAAAGCAAATACTAATTGGTATGTTTTTACAGGATGACAAGATTAAACTTCTCTTCTCACTAATTATTAGCTCATGATTATTTTATCATTACTGATATATGGGAAGATAAATAATGCAAACGATTCCTACTTTGTTTCATGACAACATATGCATCAATAACTGTTTATACATGCTCTTACATACCTTTGATACTTTGCTTTCATGCTTGCTTTTCTTTTTAATCTCACCTTATATAAGGATATTGAAACAAAATGTGAACTATGTACATGTTATACATGAAGATGATGATGACCTGTAAATCTTTAATAGAACTTGACATCAACATGAATATCTTATCAATGTGTTCATGTGAATAGCTATGTCTTGTTTTTATTTCTGACTTTTTCAAGATGAACATTAACATTAGAACAAGGTTAGGGAAGAAATAGCCCAGATAGGCCAGAATCTAACCCTTATCATATAAGAACAAGGGTGGAAAAGAAGTAGCCTTTAAAGTTTAGTCAAGGTTCGGGAAAGTTTGGCCTAGGACAAATATTCCATGGGGATAATTAAGCTTGGGGGGGAAGAGAGGAACCTGTATATTGGGTAAAGAATATATATGAAGTTTTTGTGATTATCTTTACGGTTTAAATTAACAACAGATGTTTCACTTCGTTATTCAGTCACAAAACGGCATACTGTAAAACTGTAAATTTAAAAAAAATGAAAATAGAATCCCTGACTGTGCAACATAAGTTTGAGATTGCTGTTATCAGAATCATTACTTGTTTAGGTACTTATAATGTAGAAAATAATACTGACATGTACAATTAGTGTCACCTACTGTCAAACACCTAAGTTCCCAAATTATCACAATACGTATCACAATACATGTACCTGAATCGCAATATATTGCAATACAATTTATTTGCCATTATACACAGCCCTACTGTGAAGTGCATTGTCATTAGAGAAGCAAGATTAAAAATGTAAAGAGATTTGGGACAATCTCTCTCAATGTTAGTTGATGATGTTGTGAACATGCTTAGTCTGTCTCACAGTCCCTGAACCACATTACTGCCAAACCCACCCTGCAATGCTAAAACCCTAAATGAAGCAAGTCTATATTCCATCAGGTTCTTAATTTCCCATCTGACTGGTGCTCTTTCTCAATTTATATGGGTTTATTTGTTACTGTATATTATATAATTTTTCCTTATCCTGACTCATGCTTAATTGCTTGTCTCCTTCCTCTTGCGAACTATAGTGGAACACTTGAATCCCCTTTTGAAGCTCCCTTAAAAAAAGCAGACGTAAAATCACTTACCCCACGAGTAGCCTCCCTTTGATATTTGGCGCCCAAACTGTCACATGATCAGACAGTTTGATCAGACATGATCAACTTCCCGAGAACCTGTCAACCTGGACAACGATGAGCCTGCAGTAGAAGAGGAGCATTCGCGAAGGAGAACCAGACGTTCACCGGAGCATCGCAGATCATCCTCGACCTCAGACTCGGACAATCATCATGGACCTGCGCGAACGTACTTCACATCCCACGGAAGAGAATCTGCACTTTCACGAAGGAATACGTCTCAAGACTCCAGGGTGGATCTTTTTACGGATCCATCACCTTCGCGCAGGTCTTCAGGAAGATCTTCATGTTCACCGCCACGCAGATCTTTACGCACATATAGGTCGCCACTCAGGTCTCAACACGCATCTCCACGAAGGCATTCGCGAATGTCTCCACGTAGATCACCACGTAGATCTCAACTCAGGAGACGGTCTTCAGAACAAGATACATCCACATCTGAAGATGATGGTGGAATCATATTCTCCGATACAGAGATCAAGTCTTGGATGGCTAATGGATTGGAGCTTGCATCACCTTCTAAAGAGGATAATGAAGCATTCACGTACATGATGTCAAACGACGAATTTGATACGCTCACCCTTCCACCCATAGATCCTGTGTTGAATGTACCAGAGAACCTCAGTACAGCCTTCAGGAAGGCAACGAAGTTCCAGAGTCAAAGTAAACCACCGTTCAACGCCAAGAAGTTCTCTCTACACCATATGGAACCCTTCATGAAGGCCCCAGAGATAGATGAGAACTACAAAATCATTAACGACACCCGTACCAGGACTTATAAAGTGGACGATAAGAAGCTAGCACAACTAGACACAACTACCAGGTGTACCTTCTTTGGTCTAGCCAGATCAAGAGCCATCAATGAAACCCTCATTGCGAAGTTTAGGAAGAAGATTGTATGATCTACTCGGCATTGCTGACCCAGAAGAAAGACCAGCAGTTTATATCGGAGCATCTGGCATCTACATCAGCAGGGTTGACGCTACTGAGAAGACAAGGGCTACCATCTTCCTGTAATTGGAGTGAGAAGTTCACCAAGACTTTGTACAGAGCTCCATGGTCAGCAGCAGCTAGTTTCGCAGGGGAAATTGAAGACGTGGCCAAAGAAGTTACAAAGGAGTCTAGGGAGGTCATGATGATCAAGTCCATCAATACACTGGCCAGTGTTATCCAACAGACATCTCAACGCTACTCTGGCAAATTGAAGTTTGCGGAGATACAGAGAGCTAGAGAGAAGAAATACGGCACTTGCAGAGGAGGCAAGGATTCTTTTCGTCGCCCAACCGGAGCTCTCAGAGGTAACCCCGGAAGAGGCAGAGGATTCAGAGGTGCCAGGAATGCTAGACGTTGATGGACGGGTTTGGAACGACTGGAGTCTTCCACCCCCAGCCATTCCCAAACATCATTTGACAGTGGGTGGACGTCTACAACGCTACTGGGAGAATTGGGGAATTCT